TATGCAGGAAAATTTTCTGTTGCACAAAGGTTACATTTTAGTTCCTTGAACATCTGAAACCAGGACAGGTGTAGTATTTATAATCTTTTATACATCTATCTCATGCAGATTTAGTTTCTTATTCATGGAACTGCCACATCTTGATGTTTGTCTCGGCATTATTATAGCTGATTTTCTTTCAGGGAACCTTTCCTACTGCTCAACTTAGAATGTTAATTGTGTTGTCACAGTTAAACTTCCTCAGAAAAGCTTTTGAATAAGGTGCATCATTATATCACTATGGTGCTATCATATGCTAGGGCAGTGATGGCTAACCTTTTTGCCGTCGCGTGCCAAAAGTGGGGGGAGAGTGGGGGAGTCGTGCATGTGCGTTCCCACATCCATAATTCAGTGTGCCCTGCCCCCCATGTGTGTGCGCGTGCGACTCTCCCTGCTTTTGGCATGCGATGGCACAGTGGGCCCGGTAGGCCCACTTTTCGCCCTCCCCAGGCTCCAGAGGCTTTCTTGGAGCCTGGGGAAGGCGAAAATGGTTCTCTGGAGGCCAGAAATGGCCCGTTTGGTGACTTCCGGTGGGACCTGAGCTGAGCTAGGGCAACGCCCACCAATATGTCATAGGTTCACCATCACAGTACTAGGGTCTTCATCTGCTTTTGTTTACAGCATTTTCTTGTCACTATTTCTCCAAAGAGATTTTTTTTCAACTTTTTCTAAAGGCAGAAATGATGAGATTTTACCTAATCACAACCCAATGCATAGGGTGGGGATCCAGGACGTAATTTGAAGAAAACTCAGATTCTGGCCTACTATAATGGCAAAAGGTAACATTGATTGCCAGATATTATGAGGAACTTCTAGACCAGTATTTCTCAAAGTTGGCAGCCATACGTTGTGTAAGACAAATCCCAGAATTCCCAATCTAATCATGCTCTAGACCACAGTTCCCTGAACTTGGACCAGCGGACCAGCTCTTAGACCACCAAGTGGGGGGGGGAGAGGGGATGGTTCTTCATGAGCAGTGGGCAAGCAATGCATACGCAATGGGCACACTGCCTGCCACTCAAACAAATGGAGCACACAAGCACACACTCACCTGATGCTCAGTGGGGATGCATGCACACGTGCTTGCCCACCACTTCACGTGCCCAGTTCTTAACACCTGATGGCCCAGTAATGGACTGTGACCCATGCGGTTGGGGGCCTTTGTTCTAGATTCTCAATAATCTAGACATAACCGTGATTCCAAGCAGTATCTGGTCATATTCCAAATTCATTTGAATATGTTGTAAGGCAGAAATTGGCAACCTTTTGTTGTTTGAGAGACTTGCATCTCACTCTCTCCCCTCACTTCCTGATTACCTGGAAGGGATAAGATGCCTTTACTGTTGCAGTATCATCAGGAGGATGGAGATAACTTTTTTAAAAATCTGGGTGTTTCGGTGAGAATGAGAACAATTTCAATGGTGAAGCATTTCTCATTTCATCTTTGATTTGCTCAATCCCACCAAAACGTCTAAAATTCTTCTGCCAAAATTTCAGTAATGCTACTTTGGTCTGTGTTTTTGGATGGAGTGGAGACCTAAGGAAATGAACTGTTTTGCCTAGAAGAACTGATAGATGTCCGTTTCTGGACTTCCGGTAGTTTTTTGCCCTCCCCAGGCTCGAGAGGCTCTGGAGGCTTTCCTGGAGCTTCCAGGAGGGTGAAAACGGCCTCCCCTGGCCCTCTGGAGGCCAGAAACAGGCCGTTTCCAGACTTCTGGTACTTCTGGGAGGCCCATTTTTTGCCCTCCACAGGCTCCAGAGGCTTTCCTGGAGCCTCCAGGAGGGCTGTTTCCGGCCTCCTCCGGTCCTCGGGAGGCCGGAAACAGCCTATTTCTGGACTTCCGGTAGGCCCATTTTTCACCCTCCAAGAGTCTCCGTGCAAGCCCTGTAGTTATCTGTCATCCAAAATGGGACACGTGGAGACTCCTGGGACAGGTGGGGTGGCATGGGCATGCGTGCATGTCTCCTGCATGCACAGCAGAGACCCAAAAATCAGCTAGCCGGCGGGAGGTGAGCGTGCATGTGCGCTGGAGCTGACCTAGGGTGACGGCTCGCGTGCCCGCAAAAATGGCTACACGTGCCACCTGTGGCACACATGCTATAGGTTCACCATCACGGTTCTATACTGTCTCTCCACACAGATACACAAACACATTAACCAGTGAATTATTCAGGTACTTTCCTAATGAGCCTTCAGGAAGAAAATTACATCAGCCTCCCTGAATAGAATTGTGACAAAACAAAGCTAGGCAATTTGGATGATTCATCCAGCACCCAAACACATACTTCTTTAAGTTGGAAGAGTTGGACGACAAACTGGGATTCCCTGAGGAATTCCTACAAGGCAGTACAGGTGTTCATATGGAAGCTTATTTCTTAGTATCACAATTTTGCATGTCAAATACATAATACGTATTTTGTGGAAATGGATAAACATCAAGTTTCTTCATTGGTTAGTATATATAAATAATGGACATGAATTTAGCATATACACACTACTGATATGAAGAAAAAATAAATGCTCAAAGATGCTGATCAATAAGACACCAAATAAAAAGTTTTATATATCCCAATGGGTGGTAAACCATGTGTCATATATTTTTCAGAACATGGAAAAACAGGATAACGCATCACAGGCAATCAGTTAATAGGATTAAAATGCTCCAACCTTCTTGGAAGAATCTGTTATGCAAACTTTTGCCGGGCAGTGGTGAATATTTTTAACAAGCAAAATATTCTAAAGGTTAAACATTTCACCAACGTATCTCTGGTTTAATTCCATTGAATCCCTCAGGAAGTGTATTATGTATGTTAATGGATAAAGCTGAGCATACAACTTATTTTAGACAGGCATTCATAAAGTAAAACCATCATGATTGAACAAGACTGAAACAGGCAAACCTCATATTTAAATAGCAAAGTCAATACCGTGGACTGAAGGCCTAAGAGAATTGCAGATGAAAAACATGGATGGCTAGAAGCCAGGAGAGATGAAATGATGTGGCAGCAGGCTTGAATTGCCTTGGAAGCTGGCCCAGATCCATGGGAAATGTTACAAAATTTGGGAGGCCTTCATCAAGCAAAAGCTGAACTAAAAAATTGAATTCACATGATCTTTGCTAAGCATTGTTTGCCACAATTGTTTCAGTTTTGTAATGATTTAGAATGGAGTGTCTTTATAAAAACCATTTCTTATGAAGCCACTAGAGGTATATGAACATGAATGAAAGCATAATATTAACAAAGTACTGTAGTCCTGCTCAATAATTTATAAATGGCTACTATAGCAATACAATTCTGGAACAATATCATAGATAGATCATAGATCATATCATAGATCAGGTTCGCCTGATTCGCCAGTTGCGTCCCTTTCTGGATCGGGACTCATTACGCACGGTCACTCATGCCCTTGTCACCTCCCGCCTGGACTATTGCAACGCTCTCTACATGGGGCTCCCCTTGAGGAGCACCCGGAGGCTCCAACTGGCGCAGAGTGCGGCCGCGCGGGTGGTAATGGGAGCGACATGGCGTTCCCATGTAACACCCCTCCTGCGTGAGCTGCACTGGCTCCCGGTGTTCTTCCTGGTGCGCTTCAAGGTTCTGGTTACCACCTTTAAAGCGCTCCATGGCTTAGGACCCGGGTACTTGCGGGACCGCCTACTACCACCAATAGCCTCCCACCGGCCGGTACGCTCCCATAGAGAGGGGCTCCTCCGGGTGCCGTCAGCCAAACAATGCCGACTGGCGGCCCCCAGGGGGAGAGCCTTCTCTGTGGGGGCACCTACTATCTGGAACGAGCTCCCCCCAGAGATACGGAGGATCCCGGATCTGCGCACCTTCCGCCGCGTCTTAAAGACCTTACTATTTCACCAGGCCGGCCTGGCCTAATTTTCCCCCTCTTTTATAAAAGATTTTTAAAATTTTAAATATCTTTTAGTATTTTATATATTCAATTTTAAATTGGTTTTAAAAGTTTGGGGTTTTAAATTTGTCGGGGCCAAAATTATTTAATTTGATTTAATTCTATTTTTAAATTTTGTATTGTATGTGTTTTTATTGTTTGGCTGTGCACCGCCCTGAGTCCTTCGGGAGTAGGGCGGTATAGAAATCTAATAAAATGAAAATGAAATGAAATGAAAAATAGATACCCCGCCTTGCACAAACTATATGCCAGTATAGTATGTTTTAATTGAAGTACAGCTTGATCCTGTACATGTGTACTTAAATGTGCATTCCAGTGAATTCAGTGAAATAATTTTCCTTTTAAAGGTTTTTAATATATGTACAAATGCCTTATCAATGATTAGCTGATTTACATATGCCAATCCATGATACAAAACAAAGAGCTGGGGCAGCGTAACCTACTACACAATAAACTATGTTTTTAATTCACAATAGGTGGATAGCTAAGAAATTATATTACTACTTAACATAATGTATGAACTCAGCATTTACAAAACTAAACAAAATAGATTGGGAGATGGAAACAAAATAGGTACACTGAATTCCAAATCTTTGCTTTAAGTTAAAAAAATATTTGAAAAGGGTGACCGGCCCAAAGTTGTCCAGCTGGCCTTCCTGGCTAAGGCAGGACTTGACACTCATTGTCTCTTGCTTTCTAGCCTGATGCCTTAACCATTACACCAAACTGGTTCTCAGGTTATCACAAATAGGAATTGAAAAACACGATAACTTATGCATTTCAGATTCTGAATAGTTTTAAGCAAAAATGAACCAAGTTGAGACAACAAGCTTAGCCAAAGAATGCCTTTGACAATAGTTAGGGAAAATGAAGCTGTACAGGAGAGGATTAGGAAAGCAGACTGTATGTCCCCACTAAACAACCAGAGTGGTTTGTCCTATCATACAAATATGTAAGGTATTTATAGTACAGGTTTTATATGAGGGTAAAAAAATAGTGTAATTGATGAAGTGAGTACACACCAGAAAACAAAGTACCATAATCTTGATGGCCGTTGTATTAAAACATTTAACTCTACACAAGGATTTTGCCTCAGTTCCAAACTAGATCTGTCCAATCAGATGAGGTTAGTTCTTTGACAGCGACTCAGTTCTTTCTGGCATTGAGACACATTATTTTAAACTCTACACAACACTGAAGATTGCGGGAGGTCCATTCTCTCATCGGCCTTCTCTTGGCTCAAGCAATCTATTTCTTTTCAAAGGAGGCGTTGGAAAAAAATGCAAGCAGTCTAGCATTTTGCATATTGACTGGTCTCCTGCCAAAGAGAAGGGGGAAGAATGTGTGTCGATTTCACTCCTGCAAGGGGTGTGAGAAATTGCACATGCCAAAACAGTCCAGTTAACCCTTGACTGCATTTTGAAATAGAACTTCTGGTATTTGTGTGCCTTGCTTAGAACTTATTCCCCCATTCTAGCTATTATAGCAGCATAGCACTATAGCATACTAAGTATTGAGAAGTCACCAACTGCAAAACTGCCAGTATAAAATCATTACATTTTAGATACTTTTGTATGCAGAAAAATAAATGCAAGGCAGCTTAGATTTTTTCCATCATAGCAAAATCATGGGGGGTGGGGAGGGAGAAGTACCCGTATGTACCGGATATATAGATCTCTCTCCCCCTCCAGGACCCACAGAAATGTGTGGCACATGAGACACTGATGTTTTTTGCACTTTTTGGTCAGGTAGAAGGAGCAAAATTATTGACTTCTGGTGTTCACCACATATTTTCTCTGCTGGAAGAGCAGTAGTAGCAGCAGTGAAGACAAATGTGTTTCAAATCTGCCTTAGAAGGAAACAGATAGAAAAATGTAGTGTAGAAGAATCCTTAGTTTTTGAAGTGTTGAAATACTTTTCTTTTGTGCTCCCAATGGTGCTATTAAGGATAAATAGACATTGATTCGATCACAATTCCCACCCTCTGATTTCTTCTACTTTCCATTCCCTTTGGATATGCTTTCCCTTCACACTTCTCCCTCCTTTTCCTTCGCACTCTAAACAGGAACAGACCGCTTTTATTCTTTTTTAAAAAATTTGGATATGCTGCAGGCTAAGTTGTAATTGCCTTCTGCATTATTTTTTTCAGGACCGCTGCTCCATTCTTTTAAAAATGTTGGTTGGGCTGATTTGGGAACTTCTGAAGTGAAAAGCTCGATTCTCCGTCTACTAATCTTGTCCCGGTCGTAAACTAAGTACTATAGCATGGTCCTTACTCTGGAAATCATTACAAAATGCTAGCTTTCAATCCTCACACTATACTATGGTTTAAAATGTATTGAATAAGCCACAATTTAGCGGGCTTAGACATGCTAAATCAAATCAGGGCTTCGTTTACATAACAAGCCTGAAGGACTTTATTGTTCTCTACGATTTATGAGCAGAGTTTAAAAAAACGACCAAACTTGCTTGAATTTTGCTCGTTAAAATTGTCTACCTCATTCTATGTGACAGGTTGGGTTTGCCCAATATAGACTAAGCTCAAGCGTGCTTGCTTAGCGAGCAGGACAAACCTAGTCAGTATGTTAGTTTGCGGTTCAGTGAATTTTGAGACACCCCCCCCCCGCCGCCAAGCATCTGGATTAATTCAGCACACCACGCGAAGGAGTCTTAGGTTAACGCCGCCCTCGATAAATCAATTGCTTCCAGTCTTAGTCGTAGTAACTCTCCGGTTTCAGAAATGTAGACCGCAACGTAGGGACGAGCAATAAGACATTCCTTGGCGTATCGATTGGAAATGGCAGGGCAACGGATGGCTATAAGCGCCCCTCTTGATGTTCCTCTCATTAGATAGGTAAGAAGACCTACAGGAAAACGAGGCACATCTGGAAAACTTAATCCTTAATCCGTCTAAACAAGATTAAGGAGGAACGACACCGGGCGCCTGCTAGGCACTCTCCTAACCAGGACTATTCACCTGCCTCGCAGCGGGGGAGGGGGGGATTTCTAGCCACACCCCCTCCCCTTGCTCCCCCTTCCCAGACCCGGGCAGGAGTCGCAAATGGCAGCCGAGACAGGCGGAAAAGCCCGAGGGGGGCGGGGCAGAAAGCCGCTCGAGACGCTGAAGTCTCGGCGCTCCGGACAGGAGAAATCGAGCGCCGAGAGCTTCGATGCGTTTGCAATAAATGTCTGGCTGTTACCCTGGCCGCCATTTTAGATGACGAGAGGAGCGGGAGGCTTCGAGTGAGGGAAAAGCCCTCGCGGTGGGGAAAGCGGGAGCAGCCGAGAAGCGGGCAGGTACGGCAATAGTTCCTCGTACGGGGGGAGACGGGAGTGGGGACGGGACAGCGAGTTTCGCCGTCGGAGGCCAGGACTGGTTCGGGTGGAGTTCGGTTCGGCTGGGTTGCTGGCTCGAGAGGAAAAGGGGTACGTGTGTACGGGGCGCAGTAGGGGGGCTCGGACAGGCTGCGGGAGGAGGAGAAGGAGCACCCTCCTCCTCCCCCGGCCGCCGCGTTTGCAGCTCGGCTTCTGAGTTACGGAGGAGCGCCGAGAGAAAAAGGCGAATGCATTGGGGTCGCCTGGGGCTGAGCGGTGGGCTTTTATCCCCGGCGCCGCTGCTGCTGTGCTGTTGCTTCTGCCGCTCTCGGGCTTTCTTCGCCCTCTTGCACGGGGGATGCCTGCTATGCAGCTTCTCTGCGAAGGAAGGCGCCCCAGTGGAGGAGTCTGGTTTGTTCCCCCGTTTGCTTTTGCCATTTTGGGCTCTTTCTCTCTTTCGAGCTCCTTCCTCATTTTCTTCTCTTCGGGTGGGGTGTGTGTGTGTGTGTGGTGTGTGTGTGTGTGTGAGAGAGAGAGAGAGAACCGGAGCCACCAGCCTGTCCTGCGGGGAACTTGAGTCCCGTGTGTTTGCTGGCGGGAATCGGTGCGACCGGGGACCTCCGTTTATTGACAAGGGCAGGAATGGATGCAAGCGCTGCTGCCGCTATTGGTGCTGCCGCCGCCAGCCAGCTGTCATGGGACAGCAGGTTGGCGCTCCCTGGCTTTCTTTTGCGGGGTTGTGTGCGGAGCATCCGAAGCGTCGGCTCGGCGGGCGTTGAGTGAGACAGGCGAGCGGCAGCAGGATTCCCCCCCCCACGCCCCGGGAGAAGAAAGGATTTTGAATTAAACTTGCAGGAGAGAGCAAGACGGGAAAGGCTTTTGCTAGGTTGGGAAAACAAAAACAAAAAAGAGGCAATTGCGGTTTGCCGCAAGGAGATCGAATAGAGAGGGAATTGAAGAGCTGCTCTTCAGTTTCTTGATTATGAGGCTGATGGGGGACTTGTGAAAAACGAGTTTGGCTTGCGCCGAAGTGAAACTTCTGGAGAGAATTTATTCTTAATTTTTCATGGCTGTGATCATTCTTTGTGGATCCTGAGAGACGTGCCTTATTTGCCTTTTGTTTATAGCCTACTCGGATTTTCTTGGTGGTTAAGTGCCCCTGATTTATAAAAGAAAGTTAAGTAATACAAACCAAGCCCCAGCGGTGGTAATATAAATAGGTTTGCCTTGAATAGTCTTGTGTAAGTAAGAATATTGCTTTCCACTAATAGCTCAGACTTATCGAGACTGAACTAAACTAAACTAAAAGTTCTGATTTGCATGAGATTTACTTTCAAGTAAATGTGTTTATGATTGTAACATGAAAAACAGTATGGATAGCTTAAATAACAGTGCTTCCAGTCAAGGTTTTGGAAGAGAAAAAGAGAATAAACTGCTTGATGTCTTTTCATGTGAAGCTCTATGAGCCATCTGTCTGGCAGTACATACTTGATGAAATTATATTTTAACTCATGAATGCTGTGTTTTTCACTAGATGGGTTGACACATTGTTCTAAACTATGATTTCCTTAACTCATTTGTTAAACTACGTTGCAGGAATCCAAAGTAAGATCATTAATTGTAGCTTAATGCCTGAATTCATGTACAAGGCTAACTCAAAATGGAACTAATGATATTAAAACTTAGTGAGGTATACTTAATCAACTTGAAAGAAATCTAAGCTGTTAAGAACAGACACATTGGTTTTACCTCTCTTCAGGCTACTTGTAACATGGGTGCTTGTGTATCAATTTAATTCTAATGAAAAACTTTCAGGCATCATTCTAATTTTAAGTTCTTTTGAAATTTTTTAGTAAGTTTTTATTTGAAAAGCTGGAGGTTTTGGTAACTAGCACATATGTTGCTGTTAAATGCAACAATGAGTTCAGCTGATGTAGTTATTCATAAGACAAGCTTTCTAGTTTTATTTTGCTACTATGTTTTTTTCTTGGCAGAAATACCAGTGAAGAGTGCAATTGTTGTCAAACTAATTCATGGAATATATTGCAAATTTTGCCATAATAGAAACACATTTAATTGCTTCTCTGGGCAGTGTTGAAAAAAACTATCAATTTTTAGTCATACATGGTTTTATACAGGTAGTCCTCGACTTACAATCACTCATTTAATGATCGTTCAATGTTACAATAGCCCTGAAAAAAAGTGACTTACGACTGCTGCAGGATCTTAATAGAAATGTTAAGTATTAACATTTTTTTGCAGATTAAATCAGATGTATAATCTGTACACACACTTAGGTGTATGATAGCTGTTAGATCTATGTATTAGACTTTTCAGTGCCACCTGAGAGAATGTGATGTTTATGATGTGTGAGTGACTGTTTATGTTCCAGCCTGCTGTTCCAGTACAGCTGTGGTGTAACCAAAATTGCTTGAGTACTGGCAAATATTCATAAAACTATCAATTAGCAATGTGTTCCATTTACTGTACATAATAGCATTTAAGAACGTTTGGGACCTCTAGTATATTTTTAGATTGTGAACTGATTGAGGTTGGTTTGCTGACTTGCTGGATGGGTGTGGTGTTAACAGTAATTAAATTTGTTACAGGATTTTAGACCTAAGGGTTTTTTAATGTTTCATTTCAGTTATAATTTTTATTATTGTTATTTATATAGAATGCATGGATCAAGGAAACATTTTTGCTATCTATAGAATAGATAAAAATCTAAGGACGCAGTAATTTAATAGAGGAAGAATTATATCATATTAATGGTTGTTTAATATAGATTGGAAAAGTTTTTTTCCCCTTTCTTTTCAATTGTGTCCAATTCTTGGAGATTGCCTGGACAAGTCCCTGCAGTTGTTTTGACAAGGTTTTTCAGAAGTGGCTTGCCATTGCCTCTTTCCTAGAGCAGAGAGAAAGTGACTGGCCTAAGGTCACCCAGCTGTCTTTTGCCCAAAGCAAGAGTAGAATAATTTTATTTGAAAAATCTCCCCCTCTCCATTAAATTTGGCAATAAAATATTAATAGGGCAATGATATTTATGGATAGAAAAGAAGAAAGACCTTTGCTGTCGTAAGTGGTGGCCTGGAGGCCTGGAAATAAAATTCAGATTCTATTTCAGACATCCATAGCACATAAAACTCAAAGTCAAACTAGTAATATATATATTCTGTCAGTGGATCTGGAACCCCAGGCTGACATGGAGCAGATCAAGTAGCTATTATAATTGTGCCTGTATTGTCATCCCTACAAGGTTGGAGTCACTATGTTTGAATTGGATGGCCACAAAAAGATGTTTAAATAAAATAAAATTTACTTTTAAGGATTACAATTTATAAAGTGTTGACCTGTATTTGAAAAGATTTGTTGAAAGTAATAGGTTTCATCAGACAAGCAGCAGATAAACAGAATCAAGTAACTTTAGAAATGAGCTGTAAGCTAAAGGAAAAGCTAAAGGAAAAACCCTTGAATGCAAGAGAGCGATTGAGTCTTCTTTCTCAACCTTTTAAAAATTTGCTGGGTTAGCTGTAGTTTGGTATTGTAGCCAAAGAATTATAAAAAGAAAGCCAGTTAATGTTGCAGACTAAGCAGTTGCAGTTTAGCTGAAAGACTCTTCTTTGGCATCTTTCATAGTGCTATTTTTAATTATTCCAGGGGGTATGCCCTTGTAATTTTAAGCCAAAGGACAGTAATTGAAATTTGTTTTTTTGTTTTATATTCAGGAAGAAAAACCTAATAGGATAAAAAATGTGAATATTGGCCTCCTTAATGCTTTGCTTACATAATATAATGATTTTTATTCTGATATATTTCTGGTTCAGGTTGAGTTTCCTTGTTGAGTTTGAATACTGTATTAACTTCTTCATTTTGTAGGAAAAGTTTTCTTGAAACCTTAACACTGTAGTGAGTTTTTATTAAAACGTATAATGGTGTTAAAGAAATATACCATAACTATCCCTGACCTATGCATTTTATAGATGTTGGACACCAATTTCTAGGAGTTGAAGTCCCTATGTGATGAATTTTCCAAAATGGAAAAGGTTGACAGAGTCTTTGCCTTAGATATAGAAAATTATATTGGTAGGATCCAAAATGTGAATAGAAGATTATGCTGTCTTCTTTCTTTACATGACTATCTATGCAATCCCTGAATATTCCCTCTCAGTGAATTATATTTGGGAGAATATTGAAGACTGAAGATTTCTCACTTCTCTTTGCACTAATTAACTTTTTTCTGTCAGTAAAATGAATTAATTGGGTCTGATCTTTCTGCATAGTTCTGTAAGTGTTCAAAATAATTTTTGTATATTAGTACATAAGTAACAGCCATCTGAAGTACTTCATTTATCAGTGGTGATTATGTGTTTGAGAGCATTGGTGTAATTTAAGCAACTCAAGGTCATATCAGAAATGTAGTAGTTATAGGTTTGTTTTGTACGAGCAGACCTAACAATAAAATTACAAGATATTATAGACATATTCCTCTGTGTATGTGTATCTGTATTATACATACATTTGCACATGTAACTTTACAAACATGATCTAACTTCATCATTGCCATAAGTTAAACTGTTCTTGGGTATTTTAATCAAAACAAATTATCAAATTTATACACTGCCCATATCACAGTCTAAGTGACTCTAGGTGGTTTACAGATAAAAGTCATAAACCATATAAAAGAAACAAAATTAAAAACAGAGTTAATGAACAAATTATAAGGTGGAGGGAGTGCCCTCAAGCCAACAACTACCCCTAGGGTTGCATGCCACTCTTCAGTCTCATGCCAGTTGTCAGAGCCAGATCTTCTGGAAGGATAGGGGTCAACCTCATCTCTGGGGACAGGATGTTCCATACAGCAAGGGTAATAGCAGAGAAGGCTGTCCTCCTAGATTCCATAATCCATGAAATTCGTTAACCGACAAAGTGCATAACATATGCTTCCTGCAAGACTGGTGGGATGGGTTATGTAATTGGAA